AGTTGGCGCTGATCCTGGCGATGCGTTCGAGGGTTCCCCGTCTTCTCTGCAGCCACATAGATGTTAGTCGTTTTCTGTCTTCCTGGCAGCTTGTCTGTGTTGCACAAGCAGGCCGGTTCTCTGGTTTCCAGGAAAATCCACCAAGGATGCTGATGAATTGTTGCATGGCAACAACTTAAAGGAAAATAGATGAGGGACAGCTCTGGAGAAGATCTGTTTATAGACATTAGTGTCACTCAGAGGTTGGTAGCGAACCCAGAAATTATACTTAAGTAAGAGTAGCACCACTCCAACATATTTTTTCTCAAATAAAAGTAACTAGTTGAGTGTAGCTAGTTACTGTCCAGCTCTGGACTTTACTGTCGCTCAGAGGTGGGCAGTAAGTAAGACTGAAACAACTGCAATACATTTTGTACTGAGATAAATGTAAAAAGTAACTACCCAAGAAATGACTCAAATAACAAAAACATTAAGTTATGTCCAATTCCTCATACTTTAAAGACTAAAGTGAAAAAAAGGAAATAAGTATCATGATTACAAAATAACATTACTTCAAATCATTAAACACTATGAAACTAATACAGTCTGTCACGCAAACATAATGCATGTTAGAACAGGGTGAACTACTGAAGCAGCAGGCTCAGCAGAGAGGAAATGACATTAGAAAATTAAAGCTTGAGCACAAACAAGAAGTCTGCATCTCATGCATTTTTTGATTTTTCTTCATTCAGTGAAGTTACTCACAGTAAAGAATCCAGAATTTTACTCAAGTTAGAGTCGCGATACTTTATAATACAACTAGTAAAAGTAAAAAGTGTAGTAGTGTAAGTACTCCAAAATGTAGAATTTTCTCAGACGGTTTTTATAAATAAAACTAGTTGCTACCAACCTTTTAGGTTACTTAGAAACTTTATGCTATTTTGTTGAGTAAATTAAAAATGAAAGTTCCTCAGTTGAGCCACCTGGCTGCCACTAATGACCATTTATTTATGCATTTAGTTTTGATTCATCTAAATAAGGAATTTTCTTCCAACAATTAAAATTTTTTTTTTAATTAACTCACAAGTAATGCATCGAACAAAATGCATTTCACGTAAAACAATAAACATTGTGTTGAATATCCATCCCTGTTGTTTATCAATGCAGTAGCCTGCATTAGCGTTAAGACAGTCCATCCTTCCATAAAAAAGTATCGAAAAATTAAAGCCTTAAAATGTCTCAAATTAATATTAAAAGTTGTAAGTTGGCCTAACATGCACTAATCACTTCTGGCAGAACTATTCAATCCTGTATGCCAATTTTTTCTTTTCTGTCAGGCAACAGTTTGAGTCACACAGACGTCTTTATTGCTTTCTGAGTGATATGTGTGCAGCTAACTGCTAACATTACTTGGCAAGCTCACTCTCTTTTTGTGTTTATCGTGGGTAAGTGCAAATGTATGAGAAGCTTCCTGGATGACGTTGGTTGGTGACATACGAGCCAGCAGGGTCACCCAAACCGTCACAGACGGTTCTAGTGTTTTGGTCTTCAAATTTAGTCTGGCTGGCGTTAAAAAGCTGAAATTTGACTTGCTGAAACCTGCAGATACCCTGGAGTTGTTGACAGTTGTCCATGTTCCCTCAAGTATTTTTGGTCATTTCTTTGTTGCTCTTGGTTCCAAGTTTGTGAAGCTGCTCTTACCTTCAGCTCACTCCAGATTCTTCATCAGTTTCAGGTTGGAACTTTGAAAGCCACTTCAGAGTGTTAATATTACCTCCAGTGCAGAGACGTGGTTTCAGTCTGAACATGGCAAGGTTATGAGCGAGTAACACTCCACCAAATCAAGAAACCACTAAGTTGCAATATTATTGTTAAAAATTGCCGTGGCGATATTTTCTATTCGATATTTTGCGTCCTGTCTGTTTCTGTGACTGTTGATGAAACCTAGCAGACTGTTCTCTTTACCTACCGTGATGTGCTGCTGTATTTCAAACCTCCAGGGCTTTTAGAACTCTGAAAAAGCACCTTTTGGCTCGGCTCATTCTGAGACTGAAGCAGACTCTTTGTGCTGCAGTTTTCTTTTGAAACTGATGTGAAGACAAGCAAACAAATTCACACAAGGACAGTTGCAGACAGGTTGTGACTTTTGTTAAGAGGTTTAGAAACATGATATTGCCTGATTTTGGCAAAAATATATGAAGTCTCACCTTACTCTAAATCTAAAATATGTTAATTTTAAACCACAGGGTTTAAAATTAATTCCTCTGATTAATGAAAAAGGTTAGTTAATGACTAGTGCTCAAGTGAGATTATAGGATGCATCATAATATTTCCTAAAATATTTGTTAGAATTCTTTATTATAATGGTGTGTGAATCAGTGTGTTGTGCATTTGATGTGGGAGTGGCTAATTCCCGGGAAGATTGGACATAGAAGTTTCTGATTAGTTTTTTGAATAATATTGACTCCCAAGTATATTGCGATAAATATAGCATTGTGATAATGATAAATGTGACAATTAGAACTATTTCTTAGTTTTTAGAGTTTTTTTGGTAGCTGTCTGGCTGTGACTGCATGACACAGCAACCATAATCCCACAAAATACAAATACTGCTCTAGAAAAACATTCTTGTTTGTAATGTCATTTAGGTCAGCAGTAACGAGGGCTGGGGAATGTGGCTGAAAAACGCATTGTGATATAAGCATTCCATATCAGCCAATGTCTATAATTTTTTTGTTTTTGTTTTGAATATCTGAAATCCTGCCAAACTGGTGGCGTGACATTTCCTGTTTCATCTGGTTTTCCATCTGCATTTTTGTATTTTTACTTATAAGCAGTTATGAGGCACGATGGCAAAACCTGAAACTGCTGCTGCGCAAGTTACTCAACAGGCTGTTGTTAGGTGACCAAGGAGTGACTGAGTTGGTTCATGACACCAACCTTTTGTAGCTCAGCCATTAAAGGTTATTATCAAGTCTTTCTTTTTTTCTCCCTACATCCCCCAGAATGCTTTGCAGTTCTGCGTTGGAGTTCAGTAAAATTATTAAACTTTCTCTCAGACGCATATTGATAGAATATTTTCAGACGTATTGGTATTTATTGATACTCTAATTGAACAAACAGTAGAGAAAGATAAATATATTCCTGATAATACAGACAATGTTTTAAACATAATTTAGAAATTATCATGACAACGATACAGCAAAATCCTTATCATGTTAAGAGATTAATCATAATAAACGATGCAATAAATATCCATTCCTTCAATGAGCGAGGCTCGGTCTGACTGTAGCAGAGCATTGATCTCTCTGTTAGGATGAAAGCAGCTCTTCACTCTTCATGCTGCTCCCTGTTTGCCAGCAAATGTTTTCTCTCCTCAGAAACACAGTGGGTATTTAATCTGCCTGTCTGTGACAGTAAAACAATCTAAAGCACTTTAAGATTCAATAAAAGAACAATTTGTGTCGTTTTTCCAGCTGCTGTGTTATTTGAAGGCCAACTCTGGAATGCATTTATCTAGTGATCGATGTCAGTTGTGTTTGCCTGTTTCACAGCATGTTCATCTACAGCAGCAGCAACTAGGAAGCACAGTTCCAGCTGTGTGAAGGACCGACTACAAAATCCTGGTCGTTCCAGTAAAAGGCAGAGAAATTTCAGCTATTCATAGTCTTCCTTTTCCAGGCAGTCCCAAGAGACGGGGCCGTGCAATCCGAGCTAGGTCTAATGCTTCCCACCACTCAGCAACAGCAGCAGTGGGTCTATCGGCCAGACAGACAGAGAGGAGAGGCCTTTCAAAGCTACCTGCGAGTCTTCCCTCAAGGTCGAAGTTCTAAGTGTGAACTGGAGATGATAAAAGATGCCAGCATCCTTCCAATATTCAACCATTTTCTGGTGAAGTGGGCTGTGGGTAAACATTAGGTGTTCATTTGTCACAGTCTGGATTAGATAGGTTTCCATCCTTATTTAGACTCTCGTAGACACTTTAACAACAGTTACAATGGAACTAAATAACTTGATTCCTGTTAAGCAATCTGTCGAAGCTAAGGACGCAAGTTATGATTGGGTTCAACTAAAGTTGGTTGGTCTTATAGATAAATTAACAATTTATTGATGAGTGGCCATTTTCTTAAAAACTGGAGTTTCTCTCAGAGGGCCGACTGTTTTGCCTTAACAAAATATTCTACATTTTTCATGATGATGAGTTAAAAAGAAAACATTACTTTGTGTCTGCTGTATCAAATAATTTGTGCTTTTCACAATAATAAACTCATAGTTATGAAGTGAAATAGCAGGAAGCTGTTAGGCTGCTGAATAGAAAAATAAAAGATGAAAAGAATAAAATATTCTCTCTGTTCCCCATGAACACTAAAATATTCTGTCAGACGGAAAGTTTAAACTTAGCTCTGAAGTTAACTCACGACAATTTTGATTATTGATGTTTTTTGTTTTTATATATATATTTTATCCCCCTCCACTTTTCTGTCATATTGTTCTCACTAATGCTGCTCCTTGCAGCTCGGTTGATTGAGCGCTATTAACTGAAGCTGTTAACTAGCTTGAGTGTTTGTAATTCAAAACAGAACTGCAAAAAGCGCAGCTATCTTCCCACAACGGGTGTGGACGCCATCTTTGTTTACGTATCAGCTGGCTGCGCCACTGAAGGACGACAACTATCGCCTTCTGCTGGATGGGGGGCAAACTACAACACCAATAGACAGTCGAAGGCTAAGCAGACGTTAAGTCAATGAAATGGAACTAATGTTAATCTATTAAACCATTAATCCACAGTTGATTGTGAATGTATTAATTGTTTGCTTCCCCAATTGAAGCCCGGCTTCCACAGACTTGTGTTTAAAAGAAATATAAGTTTCAAATGCAGGATTTCAGTCTGTGAAATGCAGCAGCCTGAGGGGGAAGAATTTGGAATGATCTTTGAACCCCAGTCATTCTCTCTCTGAACTGTTTATGTGGAATCTATCCAATGTTAATCCATTCTCTGTGTTTCTGCGTGTTTCCTGCAGAATGCCAAGCCCTTCCCCTCCTCAGACAGCCTAGCGAAGGTCCAGGAGGTAGCAAGCTGGCTTTTGGAAATGAACCAGGATCTGCTGTCGGGGGGCAGCAGCAGCAGGCGCAGTCGGGGCCTCGGGGGTCAGGCCGTGCGAGGTAACGCCTCCTCCACCACCCGGGCACCACAGCAGGCGGCCGAGGACGATGAGGACGAGCACATTAACCGAGTGGTGGAGGAAGAGGAGCTGCGGCAGAGGGTGAGGCCTCAGCAGAAGCAACCTCATAAATAGGGACTGAACACTTTCTCATGAGAATATTGTCGTTTTTTTCTCCCCTCTTCTTCTCTGGTCCCGATCAGCCGGAGGTGTCGCAGGCTGATGGCGAACGGGAGCAGCCGTGGCCGCCCGGTGAGTCCGGAGCCAGCAACGGCCCTCAGGGTGAAGGGGAGGAGGGCCGAGGAGGGCCGCTAAGCGAAGTCACCGGGGACGACAAGGGAAGCCAGTGGCAGTGGGGGACGGACCAGCAGAGGCAGCTCCAAGGACAGCGCCCCCTGGAGGAGGACGAGGAGGAGGAGGAGGAAGAGAATAACAACAGCAGCAGTCACCAAGAGGAGGAGGACACAGAGGGGAGGACAGAGGGAGGGGAGGAGCATGGGAGGGAGGAAGGAGAGGACGAGGAGGAGGAGGAAGAGGAGGACGATGAGGAGATGGACCAAGATAGCGATGAGTTTGAACATTCGGTGGAAAGTGGGAGAGAAGAGGAGGAAGAGGAGGGGGGAGAGGGAGAGGAAGGGCTGCGCTCCCCCTCCCTCAGGAACAGCATGTCCACCCCCAGTAGGAATCAGGAGACGGGATGTCCACACCAAAGTTCTTCCAGCAAGAAGGTAAGGTGCTGCTGGTTCTGTCCCACTGCTCTGCAGGCCAGAGCACGCCCTCCTGTGGAGTCAGCTGGGATGTCCCAGAGTTTATCTTAGCGCCACACCTGCAGAAACGCTCAGGTCAGCGCCACAGCTGCTGTCTGCTCAGCTGTGAACGTGGTCAGAATCTGCAGTGGGGGGAAGGCACAATTTTTTATTTTTTTATTCAATGCATGTTTTGCTGTATAATAAATTATTAACAATATATATCGCGATAGATAATACATATTAAAGAATATTCAATATACAGAATAATTACTGAATTCTGAACCAGAACCGCACAGCATTCTGGGGGACGTAGGCAGAGGAAAGGCCATAGCCAATCAACCTCTCATGGTGAGCTAAGCAAGATTGGTAGCCTCAGGTTTCACCACCGTGGCTCATAACTGCTTAAAAATAAAAAACATCAGCGGTGAGTGAAAACTGGATAAAACGGGAAAGGTGAAGCCACCAGTTTGGCAGGATTTCAAATACTTAAAACCAAAAACAAGGGAAAAATTATCCACGTTGATTAGTATGAAACACTTGTAGTGTATTAAATTTTTAGCCAAATTGTCCATCCCTTATTGCATTTTATATAGTAGGTATAGACCCTTATCTGGTGAGTTGTAATAATATTTGGGAATTTTTATGAATGTAAACAACAGTCAGTGTTCGAAAATGATGAAGGTACAGTCATTTTGTGGGGGGAATCGCATGTTAATGACCAAGAAATGCATTAAACCAACCGTCATCAGTTCAAACCTAATTATTTATAGAACTAGTTATTAATATCCTATAATTTGCATTAGCAAAATAAGTTTTTCTCCAGTGGATAGAGTCCAGGGACTCAGATCCTTTTAAACCTGGCCCAGCATGGCTCTCCAGCTCCCTCTAGTGGGCTAATTCTGCCTTCACACTGCAAGCATTAGCAATCACTCTGAATAAGAAAAAGAGCTAAAATGTCCATTTTGATTGGACATATGAGGTATTTGTTAAAGGTGTTTAATGTCCCTGCTGGGGCAGAGCTTAAGGTGAACTGGAGGAGTTTCCAGGACCAGAAGCTCTGATCAGGATCCTCCAGGCTGGAACAGACTTTTCTCTGCCAGGATGCTCACACATCCTTAAAAAGTCTTAAAGTCATTTTAGAAAAAGTAAGTTCATGCCTCTAATATGTAAATCACACGTCTTAAATTTTATCTTGACAGGACTGTTTAGTTTTATAAAATATATGAATTTTTGTACTTTTTTACTTTATTTACTTTATATATATATTTATTTATATATGTCACTGCGTCTTTAACTTGAGACAGTTGAGGCAACAGTTCCGGTAGCCTGAACTGGTTACTGCTATGTAACTAGATAGATAGTTACTAGCTAACATGGGTTCCAGCCAATGTTCCCTCTAATTTTTCATGTGTCTGGGCGTACACACAAGCTTCCTGGGCACACTGAGGACCACTGTGAGCATCATCAGTGTACACGGCGTGGCCACGCACAAGTATCATAAATCTGGGATCATAGAAGTTGCATGGCTTATTAAAAAAATCAAATTACATCAGCAATTTCATTCGTTTGCTTTTAATTTAAGTGATTTGCTCAATTAAAATAAAAAAAAAAAAAGAAAACATTGCTGTTCATGAGATGCATGCGATAAGTAAGAGTCGTGCTTCAGCCAGGGTGAGAAATGAGACATTACACCTTTCAGACATAAAGGTGTGTTCATATTAAAACATTCATATTTTGCACAATGAAATGTTTTCTGTAGCTTGTGATGCAGTATAAATTCTTGTAAAATATTTAATTACAGTTTTTTTCACGTCTGCCCTTCTCGGTTCTCCAGTGGTTGTACATTTAGCCCAGGTTGATGGTCAGTCTGCTTCTTGCTTTATGTTCTTGAATTCAGCATATTGACTGTTAATGGCCTCCATAATCTGTGGGTGGAGGAGAATGGCCTCATACTTCTTTGCCAGTGTACAAATGTCTGCTTATCCATAGTCAAAAGTCTGAACTCAACATTTCAATATCAAATGCAGACCATTCCTTTCATTTGATTTGATTCCATTTGATCTTAGAAGAAGTGCATTTCTTTTTTTTTTACTTTGGCTTGGTGGGTGGATGTCTCACGTAGACATGATAAGGTGATGGCTTTCACGTTTCTTAACTCTACCGCACTATTCTCACCTGAACGGCGCATATGACCAAGGCATGTAACCCACGTACACGCAGCCAATCAGCGTGTGCTGATTGGCTGCGTAGCGAAAGTGAACCGTATCGTATCACTGGCTGGATTCCTGTCACTCACTGAGTTCGATCGCAAAGTAGTACGGAAAAATTTTTTATTGGTCCATAGTCAAAACTGATGTCTGAGCTCAATGTCTACTTTCTGTTGGACTTTATTATATGCGCTACATAGATTTTCTTGTGCGCTGAGAATATGTGAGCAGTGCGCGATTGCGCAGGCGCGCAGCTTAGAGGGAACATTGGTTCCAGCTACCTAGTTAGCTAACCATGCTAGCTCGGTAACTACTTGTTACCTAGCTCAGTATTTCTCAACCCTGGTCCTCAAGGCACATGTCCTACATGTTTTAGAGCAGGGCTCTCCAAAGTCGGTCCTCGAGGGCCGGCATCCTGCATGTTTTAGTTCTCTCCCTGATTTAAAGCACCTGGGAGAGAACTCAGGTGCATTCCATCAAATGATGGCTGTTAAGAGGCCCAAGAAGAACATTGACATTCTGAAAAGGTCGTCACTACCACCAAGGAGAGAACTAAGACATGCAGGATGCTGGCCTTTGGGGACCCCTGTTTTAGAGGTATCCCTGCTTTAATGTGCCCGATTCAACCGATTGCAATTGAACAAACGCCTGTTAATCAGTCGTCAGTTGAAATCAGCTGGACTGAAGCAAGGAAATACCTAAAACATGCAGGGCAGTGTACCTTGAGGACCAGGGTTGGGAAACACTGACTTAACTAACATGGGCCCTGACTACCTAACTAGGCTGCTAGCTAGCTTCCAGTACTAGTTATGTAACTAGCTAGCATAGGTACGTTGAAATTTATTGCCAGGCGACTGGACGTGGTCGTAATTTCTTTTTTTAATTAAAAATGTTAAATCTAGAAAATTGATTCAACAATAAACAACCCCCATACTGAACGTGCAGCCCCTGCTGCCCACTCGGATGTGGGAGAGTACAGGAAAATATCAAACTCAACCTTTCTGACCTCATCAGCAACTTGCAGAGTGTATCTGTCCTTCATATGTATCTTTTCGTTTTTGACATAATATTTATTACTTTTATTTGTTCGGTTGGTAGAAATATCCCAAAAAAGAGAGAAATTTGGTTAGTGGGACATCTTTGTCTGCAGTGGTGTGGTGTTATGCTGGAATTTGACACCAGAGGGCGACATTGGTTCGTTAGATTTTTGTGAATTTTATTTATTTTTTGTTGCTAGATCCATGTTATTGGTTTTAATGATATAATAAAAAGCATTGCTCCGTATTAAAACACAGTAATAAACGCAATTTGCATTGTCCATCATGGCATAGTTGTCGTGAAAGGTTAGGACTTTATTTTCTTGACTTTGTGTACAACTCAAGTGTTTTCTGACCTTCACTTTCCTCTTGAAACTCTGGAGCTTATTTTACTGCACCTGCTTCTGGAGGTGAATTTATTGTGACCTGCCAATCAATCTGATAGTCTGAGGGAAACCAGTCATCTCTGTCGTCTCTGTTTAACTCATTTCAAACTAAAATGTGAAGGAAATGGTTAAACGACCATGCTGTAACTCGCCATAGGCGAGTTACAGCAGAAAAGAGTTTCAGTCTGTAGTTACCTGTGCTGCCTACTGACCATAAAGTACAACACCACTCTACTTCTGCACCACTTCTCCCCAGTAAATGGCTTCATTTGTTAATATTTTTACCAGTAAAGTTCTTGTGTTCAGACTGAGTGAAGAAGAAGTCATGCTTTTTTTTGTGTTTTAGCGCGACTTAGTTCTGCAGCTTTAAATAATGGGCGTTCTTGCTCAGGTGCCCGTGTTTCTCAGAATAACCTTGAACTACTGATATCTGCTGCTGAAGCCTGACCAGCCTTCCTCAGCACATTTCCGCAGAGATACTGAGCTTCTAACAAACCCCTAACGTCTTCTCCCCGGCCGACTTGTGAGGTTCAGATGAGGGTTTGTTGTCTGTTTAGGAACTGAAGCCCTGTGACTCGGGTCTCCAGGTCGAAGGGGTCAGAGTGGTGACAGAACGAGCCCGGTAAAGAATCGCCCCAATCACACGTGTGCTGTGTCAGACGAGTCCTGGTGCACATTCCAACACCCGGGGGTCATGAGAGCTGGGTCTGACTGGGCCCATCCTCTTTTCAGACTCTGACATCAGCTGCTGCGCCTCGCTAAGCTGACAATCTGACCTCACAGACTTCTTTAAAGACTGCCAGGCAGACAGCCGGATGAGTTTCTGATCTGGTCGAAGCTCAACAAGCGCCGCGTTGAGGTTTCTGGACGATACCAAGAGGAGCTGGGAAAGGTTTTAGAGATTCTTCCGTCTCCTTCTGGGACATGATCCACTAGAAGGCTTGTGTTTTTTCTGCAATGCTGCGGCATTGCCCCATTCCCCGTTTCTCGTCGTCGGGTGCTCGAGCAAAGATGCCAAATGCTGCCGCTGAGAAGGAGAAGCCTGTACGTGTCCCGCAGAAGAGCCAGGCCCTGGACCTGCCAGACTCCAAGGACATCACCTCCAAATCGTTACCGCCCCAGAAAGTACTCAAGATCTTTAGCATCAACATCATCGCGCAAGGTTTACCGTTCTGTCGCAGACGGGTGAGTGGCGTGCGTCACCAGAGAGGAATGCACTTTGTTGTCAGTTTAATCACTGATCCTACCAGAGGCAGTGGCTAACCTCTAGCCACTGCAGAGGCTAGTGCTCACTCACAGGCCGACTCAAAATGTCTGCCTAACTACAATAACTGCTGCTATAACTATGA